GTCACTAAGAGCATCCAATGACTACTTTGTCTCTTATTTGTCTAACAGAATCTTGCATGATTTCCTACCAACTTTAAATTGCTTAAGAGTGCTATCTCTTAACAATTATGAGATAAGTAAGCTACCAGATTTTGTTGAAAAGTTGAAACATATTCGGTACATTGATTTGTCTCGTACAAAAATCAAATGTCTACCTGAATCAGTGGGTTCTCTTCTCTTTTTGCAAACATTGTTATTATCTGGTTGTGAAGAGTTTACTAAGTTGCCTACAACGATGGGAAATGTAATTGATCTCCATCATCTTGATATCACTGATACGCCATCTTTAAAGGAGATGCCATCAGAAATAGGCAATCTTAAAAATCTTGTAACACTGTCCAAATTTATCGTGAGGGAGGCAAGTGGAACAATGATGAGATTATCTGCTTTGAAGAACTTGTCACAACTTCAAGGAAGACTGTCGATTCTATATCTGGATAGTGTTTCACAAGTTAAAGATGCTATGGAGGCCAATCTAGACAAGATCCATGGTTTGGAAGAGTTAGTCTTTGAGGGGAGGTGGATCACTTCTGATATTGATCGATATGGATCAGTACTCAACTACTTAAAACCTCCTTCCAATTTGAAAAGTCTCGAAATTTCTAGCTATGGTGGCAGGTGTTTCCCAAACTGGGTTTGTGATCCATTATTATTTTTGAATTTATCATCCATGGAGCTCGGGCCTTGTTGTAGATGCACTTTGTTACCATCACTTGGCCGACTACCTGTTCTCAAAAAATTGGTTCTTCATTGGATGGAGGGAATAGAAGTTGTAGGTTCTGAGTTTTATGGGGGACAAGGCTGTTTTCCATCATTGGAGGAATTGATGTTTATGGCCATGGACAATTGGAAGGAATGGACTTCTCCAAATGGAACTGAAGGTGATTTCCCTCGTCTTCGTAGGCTTGTGATTAGTCATTGCCCTAAGTTAGGCCAATTACCTAGCAACCTTTCTTCACTTAAAGAGTTGGATGTTTGTGGTTGCAATGGGATGCTTTTGAAGAGTATGATTGATCTCACTTCACTCACTCTATTTAAAATTCAGAAAATTTCAGAACTGACTTGCTTGCCAAAGAGTTTTTTACAGTCCTCGACAACACTTGAGACTCTGTCTATTGAATGGTGTGAGGATCTTACTTGTTTGTGGGAGGAAGGGGCAGAAATAGAACAAAACCTCTTGCCTTTCAATCTTAAGCATCTTAACCTTTGGGGATGTAGAGCTTTGGAGTCATTACCCGATGCAATTATGATGAGGATGGATGAAAGCAGTAGCAGCAACAGTAGTATGTTGATGTCGAGACTGGAAAGTTTGAGAATTGATGGTGGTCCTTCTCTCAAGTCTTTTCCAAGAGGCAAATTACCCTTCTCGCTTAAACACTTGCGCATAGAAAACTGTGAAAGTCTTGAGTCTCTACCAGATATTGATGGTGACAATAATAATAGCAATCTACATTTGGAAATAGAAAATGTTCCATGTTTGTATTCTTCTGAGGATTGTGATCAGCCACCAGTTTTTCTCAAGAAATTTGAAGTTCGAGACTGTGAATGGTTGGAATCCTTTCCAGATAGGATGTTGCAGCATTGTACGGGACTCCAATCTATTAAAATTTATGGCTGTAAAATATTGAAAAGTTTACCCAACCTTGATTGCGTCAGCAATCTCGTTGAATTATCTATTTGCCGTTGTGAAGCTTTAGGGTCGTTACCAGAAGAGTTGGGGTTATACACCCCCAATCTGAAGGATTTGAAAATAATCAACTGTATGAATTTCAAATCCCTCCCAAATACGATGTACCAGCTGAAATCTCTTAGATGGCTAGAGATGAGAGACTATCTTGGCATCGAGTTCATTCCAGATGGGGGTTTGCCCCCAAACTTAACATGGCTTGAATTGAGGTGTAGGAATCTCAAGCGGCTGCCGAATACAATGTCCCAGCTCACATCGCTTCGGAATCTAGTAGTCGCAGGTGGGGCTTTGATGTCTCTTCAACGGTTGGCAATTGAGCAGAAATTCCCTCAGGATATTGTGCTGCCTTCTTCTTTAACCTGGCTTGAGATGGAGTCTGAAGAAAATTTGGAATCCATACCTGGGGGGCTCTTCCAAAACCTAAGCTCCCTTCAAGAGTTATGGATACTTAACTGCCCGAAGCTACAATCTTTGCCGAGGGAAGCCTTCACTCCCTCGCTTGGGCGACTATGGATCTGCGGGTGTCCGCATTTAAAACGACAGCGCTTTGAGGAGAAAGGAGACTACTGGACTCTCACATGTAGCATCCCAGTCGTTTCGATAGAGTGAGGATGTGTATAAGGTAATAAGAGCTTGGTGTGAACTGAAATAGGCATAACCATTTTATGCTTTTCATATGAGAATTTAGAAAAATTATAATAGATAACACTTTTCTTTGACTTCTGCGGCCTTTTCTTATATATATGTGTTGCACATCTTTTTTGTGCAGGATGATTGGTTGTGAGCTAGCTACAACCAATTGTTGAGGTAAACAAAGCCAAGCCACTCCTCAATGTTACTGGTACTTCATTCATTCCCTGGATTAATCAACTTTATATTATTATCTACTATTTATTACCCACCATAAATTTATTTTCCTCTGAAAACATGCATGCATTCAGTTGCCTCAAAAATGGCTTACGCAATTATGCTTTCAGATTATTTTGAAAGGGGATGAGTGGTTGGCCTTGGCATTATGGAAATTCACAACCACCAAGGAGCCCGCTGCTTGCAACATGATGTTCTTAGGCAAGCCAACCAATTTCAATTTTAAATTCAATTACTGCAGGAGCTAATGTTTTCCGTTATGAAGAATTGGGAAGATTTTTGAAACAAGGAGTTGTTGATGTTCAAATGAGATTTTTCTGTAGGCTGGAATTGGAATGCAGATTACCTTTGCTGACTCAAGCAAGCTTGTACTCTGACTAAATCAAGCTGTAATTTTACAAGTTTTTTATTTGGGAAAATTTTATTGTGATGCCTATTGGGTTTGCTATTGCTATTGTTTAGGACAAGGAATCAACACTGATATATCAGGTTATCTCTATACTTCATTTTACTTGAGCAAAGTTATACATTTTGATGATATACTAGTCTATTCCTCTGCTACCTATGATGTTAGGTGCCTTTGAATTAAATGATCATTTCCCGTTGCTTCCATATCCTGTTTAATACATATTGGTTGCATTGAAGACTGTTTAAATAACTGTAATTTATTCTGCAGTTTTTATTTTATTTTTTTCCAGATCTTATAGATTTCTATAGCTTTGTGTTTTTATTTTACTTTGATTTCATTTCAGCAATTCACTTATCCATCTTTCCTTTCTAAGTTAACATTGATGCTTTTTGTCTTTGTCAAACTCTAAATGAATTATTTTCTCAAATTTCACTCTTTGCCTTTGATTTTTCTAATTTCCCATCCCTTTTTTCATGTTCCCAGTTGCTTGTGCAGAGGAGATAGCAAAATCTTGTTAGGCCTATGTGTAGGACCCCTTGGTTTTGTGACTCCCTTTTTCCTTTTGTGTGCTAGAAGTTATGAGCGTACTCTAAATTGTAGGGGTACTGCTTTTACCCCGTTTAGTAATTTCATTTGTTGATTAAAAAAAATATATCATGTGCTCATTTCGATTCTAATTGATTTTTGTTGTCTTGTATTTGTTTTACTGGCTATTTGTATTACATTTTTCCTTATCTTAATTTTGATTCCAATGCATGAAGATCAGGTAGATATCAAGAAGTTAGTGTCCCACACATTCCCTTATTTGCCTCCATCCCCATCTCTTCTTATTCATTTCACATTTCCCATAATTTTAGTGATTGGTTCCCTAGTACTGTGTAACGTCCAACTTAGTTCATGCCTTAAATTTAATGGCAACTGATTAAACCCTTTACCTTTTTCAAGTCAACCATAGGATTAGTTAAAAGGTGATTGATCCAAGATTCCAAGTTCAAGCCACCCTTTTTAGGTAGAAATCTCTTTTCAACAAGTAGGTGCTAGATGCTTTGACATTAATGTTGCCTTTCATGGGGGAGATGATGCTTCTAGTGTGATGAGTCAGAAATGAATGATCCAACAATGTGTGCTGTGTTATCTCTTTATTCATCCTAAGTCACAGCCAAGATTGCAGCACAAACAGTGCTGCTTTAATTATCCGCTGCTTTACTTAACAATGGGCTGACTTGCAAAGCAGCTTCAAGATCTAACAACTTGATTAAAAATGGTGTTCACAAATCTGTCATAGTTTCAGGCTTGAAGCTGTAATCTTCTACCCTCCAAAGAATGCCTTCTCTGGTAAGGCAGAATTCACTTTCTCATCCCTCAGTTGTTCAGAGAGATTCTCTATCATTTCATCAAGATAATACTAAGATTTAACTATCCCTCCGTGATTTGGTCTCCAATTCCTCTTGGTGCACACTGAGCATAATGAGATTCCCAATTTGATTGGAGATTTTAACTTCAAGCTTTATTTTGGTGATGATCATGACATTAGTGCTCCAACAATTTATTCTTGATGATTTATTGATGTGTACAACCTCTAGTGTTTCCTAGAGTAGATGAAACTTTGTAATAATGCTATTTTTATAGTGGACATTTTTAATTAGACTAGATCCAGTGATTTTTGTCCGTAAGGATTTGTCACATTAAAAAATCTAGTGTCTTGATTTTGTAGATGTGATAATTTTTATTCTAGTTAGTTGCTTGATTTATTTTTGAGTTTGATTATTTTTCATTTTATTGCACACAGAGAAAAGAAAACTAGTTGAATGTGGTATTTGATGAACTCTTTTGAAACAATGTGTTATATATGCAGATTGGTTTTTGACCCATGAATCCCTAAATACTAGAAAAGCTCACTTTAATCTTTAAAGATCCATATTCAAATTCAAGTTATTAGCTGTATTGGATGGATTCTTTGGTGGTAGACCATAATTGGATTTGTGTATACTTTCAACCCAAACGAACAAAGCTTTATGATTTGATCCTTGCATAAGAAGTGAAATATTAACATCATTAGTACATTTACTTCAATTGAATATTGAATACTCCAGAGCTGAAAAGGTCAGGGATAGCATCTGATATCAATCTAGAACAGCGAGTCTTAATGGTCTTCCATTTTCAATCCTTGCAGCCACGTCTATCGTACATGCATCCAAGTGAACCCATGTGAACAATGCATCGCCCTCCTGAAATACACAAATCAATCATCTAAGCACAGGTCTTCTAAAATATTTATATCTCCTGAAATACACGTCTTGGGATTCTTGAAATGCTATGACATCCAAGTCTTTGACAAGGTTTAAAACAATCTTCTGCTATAAAGCAGCATCTATCAGATTAAGAACCTCCCGTGGATTGGCCTCTATATAAATATACTAAAAGGGAAATCAAGGGCTCAAAGGCAATTATGTTGACATGCAAATTCCTATTACTGGTCTTCCAAGTTGGAGAGACATTTACTACCATATCCACAGAAAGATGAATGCAAGGAAGGTAAATAAATTAGCACAGATATGACATCTAGTTTAAATTGAAAAGACACAACAATTGAGCAGATATAGAAGAACATATAAAGAGATCTCACCAGACTGCTCCCACTTATCAAAATTCACCAACCATGTGCTTGACCTGTCTGGGTAGATAATACACAATCCACCCAAACCCGAAACGTGTTTCCCTGCTTCTCTCCGTACCACCCTTTCAATTTATGTATGCGTTCATGTAGAGCTTTTCTCAACACCAGATGGATGGACAGTTATAGCAGATGGATCCTGAAGAAAGAGCAATTAAAGTTGGCGGTTCTTTCTGAACATAGAGCATAAAGTATTCCAACAAGAAATGAAAGGTGGAAACAGATTTCTTAGTAGATTCATTAGACAAAGATAATCACTAAAAGTTGATGCAAAATGTCAATAGGTTCCAGTCAAAGTAGATCTAAAATGTAACTTAGTCCTAGTACTGGTTCTAGGTACAGCTACATAAAGTACATTTTGGTCAAGCATTTAAGCTAAAAGATTTCTTCATTTACCAGTTTATTATTTTAGGATAAATTTGCTTTCCTAATTTTCACAACAAAAGCAATATACTTCTATCTATACCTATACTCAAGTTAATCCATCAGCCAACACTCCAAACTACCAGCGACTTTTTTATTTTCACAAGCGAATGATATATGTAGCAGCATAGTAGGGATACATTCTCAACATCATGATGATTAACCTGCAGAAAGAGCACCATGTCCAATTAAAGTAACTAATAGCAATACGAGCACGACACCACCCCGAAGTGAAGCAAGAACTTATGAAACCTACCATTGTATGATCAAGATCAGAAACTATCATAAGACGTGCAGAAGCACTGAGCCAATCCATGACCACTCTATTGCAGCCTTTATCCCTACAACCAAATTAATAACTATTACAATTAGACGCTTCTATGTGAATTTAAGTTATGAATTCTACAAAATGGGACAAGTTTGAAATCACAACACAAAGAAGTAAAAACGCATGGAACCATGGAAATCAAAAGCACTTAGAAGTGTTGGATAAGTCTTTAGATTGTTTTTGGTATTTAGTCATTTCCTTGTACGTGTCTTTGTGTTTCCTAGTTATTAGGAAGTAGTTTAACGTGTTCAGCATAGTGGTTGCTATTTTATAGCTTTGTTGGTTGGCACCTTGACTATTTATGGGCCATTTGATTGTTAACTGGTATGATAATTATCTGAAATATATTTTCTTCCTATTCCATTATTTTACAGAGCATCTTGTGATCTTTACTTCTCAAATTGCTTAATTTTCCTTCATTATTTATTGTGCTCACCAACTGTTTGTTAAAATTCCTGAGAGAGTATTCCATTATTTGGCCCCTTTTATTCAACA